AGACTCGTCAAATTGGTCAGAGATTGACACGAAAATGCAATCCTCCAAATTTCAGCCGTGCCTCAACATGTTTGACTCAAAGCGCTGACAGGAGTCTGCAGATCCATCTCGTGACGAAATGCTTCGTCTGGATGAGTCTAGATGAGAGAGTAGGGTAGGGAGTGTCTGGCCTTGTCTCGGAGTGTGACTGTGTTTGACCAATCAAATCAGCAGCAAATGTGCAGCAGGTCCTTAAATAGCGCCGTCCAATGTGCCAGGTGACCTTGAAGTTCAGACAGCAGAAAGTCAGTGCGTTGCCCATAAAATAACAACAATCAGTCAGTGCTGTAATGCAACTGGTGCAATAATTTACAACAACGACAGATCCTGTAAAATCAGCACGCAATCAACTGCAAGTTGACAGGTTCAAAATACGAAGACAAGTGCCGCGAATGGCAAAGCTAGTCCCCTTCTTCTGTACCTTCCTGAGTTCTTGGCAGTATCAATCGTTCCGTCAGCGTCAACAAACGCTGTTCGAAAGCAGATAACCTGCACGTAGCTTGCACAAACCGTTTGCCTCTAGGACTGCTCCTGTCAACCCCACCTGCAGCCGTATATCCCAAGCGCAGCTACTTTGTGATTGACCCAGCAGCAGGTCCCAGAGTTGCAAGGTTGCAATGTTTTCAGACAAGGCTCCAAGGTCTTGCAGGGTTCCAAGATTTTCAAGTTTCCAGGACTGCAAGGTTGCAGATTTTGAGAGTTCCAAGGTTCCAGAGATCTACTTTACCAGGGTTCTGGGGTTCCAAGTTTCCAGGGTTCAAGGTTCCAAGCATCAAGCTTCCAGACTTGTGAGGGTCTTGGTTTGGCTCATCAACAACGAAATGACCAGCGCAATGCAAAGCAAACGCAAAGCCCAATATAGCTGCTGCAGTTTATTTAAAGAACACGGTATGGGCAGTATGATCCACAGTAAAACGTCAACTCTGCAGCTTCACAAGGTGAAAGGTTCAAAGTTTTTCACAGGGCTTGCGGTTTGCAGGCAGGAGAGCAAGACTCGAAGGTTGCAAGAGGCCAAGTTTGGGGTTCCACAATTCCATGACTCTAGAGTTTCATACTTCCAACACTCCAAGTTTCCTGGTTCCAAGATTCATGGACCAAGGGATCCATATTGTGAGAAGTCCCAAAATTTGAAGTTTCAGGTAAAGCTTGAGGGTTCTCAGTGCAGGTTGCAGACTTGCAAAGAGTCGAAAGTTCCAGGTTCTAGAGCTCGAGGGTTGAAGGTTCAAGCAAGGTTCCAGCAAGGTTAGGACTGTTCCGGTTTTTCGGGGCGTGAATTTTCGTGTCACCATTCCCAGGCCCCAGAGATTGAAACCCAGCAGATTCGCTATTGGGAACTTAACTCAACCGCTTGTGGGTTCTTGTCAATATGAATGCGAGCAATAGTGGGCGAAACGCTGCGTTTGTGTATGTCTTCGTAAGATTTTGTAAGTACATTTTGTGGCTCTGAGGTGCACAAAAAGATTGCGCTTTCTCGTGCAAGTTGGTTGGCCGGGTGAAAGCAAGATATTGCGCCGGTGTTTTCAAGATTGCGGGTGTGGGTCTGGGATAATACGCGCGAGAGCTCGGTGCAAATTAAATCAAATTACATCAAATTACCTAAATTGTTTATCCTTTTTGTTTATCCTTTTTTATGGTCAGAGTTGCGCGGAGTCCGCCTTGAAACTGTGGCCCGAAGAGTTCTTGGTTCTTGATTTGGAGCGACCCTGGTCATTGCATCTGATGGAGCGCGAGAGGAAGAATTGGTTCAGAGGGCGAGTTGGCAAAGAGACGACGCAGCTCGAAGAGGAGACTCAGAGAAGACTTGGCTTGAAGAAGTATACTATACAGTATATATAAGATTATATAAGTATCTCAGAGAAGAGGAGGTGAAATCAGTCAATCAGGCGCCCATCTCAATCAACCCTCTTTATAGGCCGTTCATACCCTATAGCCGCTTACCATTTTCGAAACTTACACCCTGGTGCCAGATCGATTCAGTCGATGCAATATAAATATAAATAGACCTTGCTTTGCATGTATTGACCGCCAAGAGGACGGAAGCTACGCCACGAAGCTATGACAGCTATAAGCTCTCTGCTGCAAGGCAACCAGGTCAATGCCAAAAATCACATCCACCAAGACATCAACCACTGTTGCCTTGGAGCATGGAGAAACCGAGAAACTCAATGCCACACACCGCAGCTCGATCAAACTCAGCGAAGCTTCCCCCAGTCTTAAGTCTTCTCTCGGTCAAACTTCCTAGTCTTCCTAGTCTTCCTAGTCTTCCTAGTCTTCCTAGTCTTCCTAGTCTTCCTAGTCTTCCTAGTCTTCAAGTCTTTCTGAGTTCCCCACTACCAGCTCCGGCTCAATGTCAAAGGAAATGCGCCACGGGATGATGAGGACACTGCGCGATGCCAACGAGCACAGCTTTGGTTGGTTTCACGAATTCAATTTGCCACCAAATTGTTGCAATATGTTTCAATACCCTTCTAGGTTCTTCAAACTGGTTTATGCCGAACCGTTCAACATGATGCAGAAAAATCAGAAAAGACAAAACGACTATCTTTGTTTCTCCGCGTGGGCTCGTCTTTGCAGCTCACACTATGGCGCTGTCATTAAGCATTGGCCGCGCCACGCTTGAGGGCACCGGTGTGATATCCTACCGAATCTGAAGGCCACTCAATGACACCTCCGCAGGGTATGCCTTGGGCAGCCCACGGCCTGTGCCCTTGAAAGAGAGTGCCCGAGCACCGAGTGGCACTGGCAAGCCTTACTTGCATCATCTTGCATCATCTTGCATCTTGTACCAAAGCACAATGCAAAAGTAGTGCATCACTATGCAGACTTATGTAGACATTAGCATGCAGAGATATGCAGAGCACATCTGTTGTGACTCATGAAAAGACTCACACGTGGGACTACGCGACACCAGGTGGCGCTGCATTTGGGCACTCTCCTTCAAGTCTTTGCTGTACACTAAACGCTATGTCTTCGCGTGTCTCCATGCATCGGCTGGTCTTATCAATTGAACACCTTAGCAAACAACTGGAGTGCTGGGAGTGCCCAAAAGAAAATGAAAGGAAAAACATGGAAAAACTGGTTTCAGAAATGAACCATGATGAACCATGTAGAACCTGATCTTCACTGGCTCAGTGCTCAACTTCTCTGGGGTCTTTTGGATCTGTGAAGTCCCAACCTGGAGCCGCTGTTCGCGTCATCAGTGCCGTAAGATTGCAAAAAAATACATGTGGAGTTCTCACATCACTTCAATCGGAGTCCAAAATTAATCACCAGTGATGTCATGAAGCAAAGTGCACTGACTGCAAACGCACTGGAACTCCACCTGCCTACCAGAGCAGGATTGAAGCTCTTTTTCCCACTGTTTTTACTTCTTTCGCTGGCCCAGTAGGCGTGGTAGCCTGCACACCCAGCTTCGAAATTCAGTCACAAGCCACCCTTGAAGAAGTGTGCTTCTCTCCATGTATCTACTGTATCTTATTATATCTACAGAATCTCTCTCTATATGCAACTGCATTAGAACTGCACTAGAACTGCACTGGAGGCTCCCGACTATAGTTCTCCACCAGGTCGGCTTCCTTCTTGTGAGAAAGCATGATCACGGCCTGGGACTCAACTGCAAGTGCTTGGAACTGCTTGGATATGCAGACTTCCTAGATCTATTGAAGAAACACATCTGTCGAACCTTTCTCTGTTTTCTAGTCTTTTCTTTCAGTCTTGCAATACATTGCTTTTGCATCTGAGATCCAAACTGGCAAGACATTCAGTGTCAGCTGGATGAGGCAGAGAGCGACGAAGATGCTAAAGGTCCACAGTGCAGGCTGTCAGGGACAAAGCAATGGCATGACTAACGGTCACACATGAGGTGACAAGGGGACCATGGACTCAATGGACAAGCTCCGGTGACAAGGAAAAGAATAGTAAAGTAAGTAAAATCACTGTGAAATCTACAAAAATTACAAAGACTGAAAATATCTGAGCATGGCCTGGAAGCGATAATATGCTTGCCAATCTTTGATGTAGCCCATTGACCACAGCACCACATTGAGCCAAGTTGTTGCCTTTGCACGAGAGATCCACGATTTGTGCAAGTCTTTCATCACTACCAGGGACTACCAGAGACTACCAGGAACTACCATGCAGCCTTGCAACAAGCTGATTCCAAACACATGCCTGTCTGAGCCTGGCACGATGCCTTCGAATGCTCTGAATGCAGTTCCAAAGACTGCGTACAAGAAGACCTGAAACCCGGACCCGGAAAAGCTGAAGCTTGCTGAAGGATACTGAATGTAGATACCGTGCAGCTGCATTTTGATCAATTTGAATCAATTTGATTGGTGAAGGCAAAGCCGGCAAAGCTTCAACAGTCACAAAGAACATCAAAGAACCACTACACTAGGAGTACCTGGTGCTGGACTCAACGCACTGGACATTCCGCACATCTGACGCATCACATCCATGTTTTAAGGGCCAAGCTCCAAAGGAAAACACCGTGACGCAAGTGAGAACAAGAACTGTGATAAGTGGCGCTGCAAGTTTTTTCCTTGGTAGTTCAAGAGCCGGCAAAACATCAGTGTGTCTTGTCATTATTGCAATTTTCAACATCACTTTGCAAGAAATTACAAGCTCAGTTAGATTCAGTTAGATGAAATACAGGATGTTGTAAAAAAGGGGGGACGACGTTTCGAAGGCTGAGCCCGTCGTGGACCACTGAGACCACTGAGACCACTGAGACCACTGAGACCACTGAGGCCTTTGCACTATCTGCGTCGCTGACAAAAGTTGTGGGAAGTGCAACAGGAGGTATTTCAGCATCCTGAGCCCGAAACCCCGTGACCCCGAGAGCCCATCTGTCAAGTCTGTCCCAAACTATGCTTCAGCCACGGTAACTAAGATCAACGTCAACTAAGTGCAAGCGTACGTCACAGCTGTTTAAAACACTCACATGTTCAACTCAACAAATTCAACAAATAAGGAATAAACTTTGAATAAACACGTATGGAACTGCTCTGACAAGGCTCAGCGCATTGAAGAGGAATAGTGTAATCACAACGATGGTCTCAGGGCAAGGGAACAGCAAGAAGCAGCAACCTTCATGTCAATGTTATAAGATCTCATTACATAAACAAACGTAAATTATCCTAGTTATATATATATACGTATTTTATACATTTATCTACACAACATGCATCGTCACAGTGTGAGTATACTGAGTACACAATGGACATGGAGTCCCCAGAGTGTTTGAATGTGCTCAATGATACCAACGGACAAGAAATTTCCGAGGTATGGACAAGTCTGCTGCGATCCAACTTGATCCGGAGCCACAAATAATCCTTGGATATTCAGCAACTCCAAAGTACAGAATTCATTGTTTCGGCAGTCAAGTCTCTACAAATGAAACTTCACTCATATTGGACTCATATAAATTGCGCAGCAATAATCCTACACAACACCACACAACCCTTGTTGCAAAATGTCGCAAATATTGCAAAGTGTTGCAGAGCAGTCGTATGGCAGGCAAGCATCGTAGAGCGCTGCATCCGATGTTCGCCCAGCCTTTCGCAACGTTGATACATATGGTACCATGTATAATTCTTGCTCGTATCAAAAGTTTATCAAGGATTCAAAAGGCTGTTGAAGGTATCTGGATGTGGAAGTTGGGAAGTCAGCGGAGATCAACTTGTAACGTATTGGTACATGCGGCGCTGGAATTTTCAGAATAGCTGAAGTCTATGTCTGGCCTCGAGCAGATTGCCGGTGAATGTGTCTTGAACCAGCATCAAACAGGAGATTGCCAAAATCATTGCTGGGAGCACCCTTAGTATATGCAGTGCAGATGAAATTACAGGAGGAGCAAAGCGTTTATGTGCGTCTGTGGCGAAACAGTGTCCAGTCCAGCAGAATTCCTGGATATGAAGAAGATGAAGCGAGCTCTGCTTCCACTCTGAGGGCTACACAGAAACAAAAGTGACCAAATGGAGCACTTGGTCCGCTCCTTGAGCAATTCCATTGCTCGATTCTATGTAATTCTTCAATAAATTCAATTACCATCCAATTAACATCAATTAACTCTATGGATTTCTGTCGGTATAGCATCGATGGAATCAGTAGTATCCATACGAACGACTGCAACAGCTTTGACGGGGTGACGCCAAGGCCTCCTCAAAGGTACAGGCAGCCGGGCAGTGAAAAATCCTCAGCGTAAAGCATGCGAAAATACACGAAAACATTGAAATACTCGTTGAAAGTGGCTAATGTATACTCATGTGCCCTGGCAAATGTTGAAGGCAAGCTTGGAGAAAGGTCACTGAAAGCTTTGTCGATTCTCAAAACCACGAACATCGAGAAATGAATATGAATAAACCATACTAAACCCCTCCCCCGCGCCTTCTCATCTCCATAAGAAGCAATAGAACCGCTGAAGCACATGCCAAGAGCAAATACACATGGCTTTCTACTGGCTCCTGCGACAAAAGAACAACAAAGGACAAGCAATGACAACAAAGCAATAATCAAAAAAGTGTTAAGATTGGTGGAACATGAAGAGACAAATTGAGTGAGGGTTGGAAGCACAAAAAGGAACCTGCCCTTCCACACAATTTTCTGGAGTTTAGGCCCTGAAAAGAGAAGATCAATGTCAATGTTGGATCAAGATAGATCAAGATGTTCAACACCAAGTGAGAGTTTCTGTGTTTCTGCACAGTTTCTGCCGTGCTTTACCATGTTGCATCGATCAAATCGAACTTTGTAGATCTTCACAGTGTCTTCACAGTGCAGCTCAGTCCAGGTCCAAGAGGAAGACATCTTTGTGGATTGATGTCACCAAGCCTTGAAACTGCTACAAGTGTGGCTCCTGTTCGTCACTGTTAGTCCACAAGGACTTGCAAATTGGAAATAATTATTAATAAATAATACTAATATTAAGATATATTAAGAAGAATGCGTTTGAAATGCTTTTAGGTATTTTAGGGTTTATGATTCATTTTTGCATTGTAGGTGCTAGGTGCATGAGAAATCATGCGCACCGATCAAGATACCGTCAGCTCGGCCTCCAGAAAGGCGGTTCTCCACCAAGAAATGGAAGATGAAAATGGCGTTGGTTGTTGCCCTAAGTAGCGGGATTGCTACAAAGAAAAAATGAGAAGTTTTTTTTAAAAAAATAATGTCTGAGAAAAGGCAAATTTCACCAAATGCCTGCTATGCATGCGGCACGGCTCGGAACTGGACCCGTACACCACAGTGGTAAGCTGTTGAGCAGAGCCCTGAAATGTGAAGGGCTCCCCTGTGCCTCAGCGTCGACAAAAAGTGAGTGAGCTCGGCAGCTCGGGGCTGAGTCGGCTGAGTCGGCATTCGCAGAAGAAACTGAAGAAACATCGAAAAAAAAATCTGCACAAAATCTGCAGTTCAAAGATGTTCAAAGATTCGCAGATTTGAGATGTAATAGAAACAAAGAAATCTGTGCCCTTTTTTGACAAGAAATTAAAATTGATGGCTGTCAAGCTCTTCAAAAGACTTCTAGGGGCCCGGCTGAGCGTGAAGCTCTCCAGGGACTGTCTGAATGCCTGGAGCTGCGTACAACTCAGACTCGTTTGGAGCGATTTGAAGCAATTTGCAAGCGATTTGAGCGATTTGCGATAAGTTGACAAAGATGTTGACACAGGTTTTGTTGACAGTTTCCTTTTGACTTCTGTATACTTATTGTGTAGTGACACTTTCGTCGTAGCTGTGACGCCTGTAACACCTGCAGCAGTTTTGCCCACCTCTGTGCCGTTGCTGACGTCCAGGAATGATCGATCGCCCTCGAAGTAGGAACCAATCTGCCGGGTTTCAGCAAGTGTCAGCAAGTGTTAGTGGCTCCAAAGTTGTCGAGAGCCATGGCATGCGGCCAGCGGAAGAACTTCCTTGCCAAACAATTTCAACTTTTGAACTTCACCGGGAATGTGATTTGTCATGATTTGTCTAGTTTCTTGGATGGTTTGGCTTCAATGTTTTTGAAATTGGAGAATACTCTACGACGACGTCTGGAAGATCAACATGGAATTCTAAGATTTTCCAGGAAACATCGTATCTCTTTAAATTGCCAAATGATACACTTCATATGTTTTTTTTAGCAAGCTTTGTGTTAGGGTTGTGTATGTCGGCGTGTGGAGTTGGCGTGTGGAGTTGGCGTGTACGCTTGCGCCTGTCTCGCACACAGTTCGATGTCCATTCTGTATTCAACAAAACTGGCCTTCCCATTGGCATAGGAGAAGACTTGAGGATGCGTAAGGGAATGCAGGTACGCCTCAGTACAGATTCTGTTGAACACAAAAGCAACAACTGGTACCCATCACCACTAGCGCTAAGCGTTTCCATTCCCTTACGTAAAGAGCACGTAAAGAGCATTCTTTTCAAAGACATGAGAGCCCAATTTCCAAGCAGTCGGCGTTTGGGATGTTGATGTCATACAGAGGAACGCAGTTCGGAACCTGGGCAGCTCCCCGCTTCATCTCCCCCAATGAAGATTCAGGTTTCAAGACACTTCAAGATGTTTCCAACTTTTTCCAGAGTTTGCAGTGTGTTTGCAGTAATGTGCAGTTTGAATCAGTATGACTGCACGGTGTGCAAAGTGCTTTTGTCGCTATCACGGCGACGTCATATCACATCAACAAACATTGTAACATTGTCATCGACAGCGCCTCGTGGCCCAACTCTTGGCCTTTTCCCAGGATATGCATCGCTCTCAGATTTGAGCAATACCTTGGCTCCCGCTTGGATCCCGCTGGGATCCCGGGAACCTGAGACTCGATGCCGTACTGCGTTTGCACTTTCCGTACAGTAACTGGTTAACGCATGGTAACAGTAGCTGTGACACTAATGACATTTTATATATATATACATATTATATATATAACTATGTATATATATATATATAACTCTATATATATAACATATCGTATACAACCGGTAGAAACTATGATACATTGGTGGCTGTGTGCTCTTCTGGCTGGTATCGGTCACACCGTGAAAATCACGATGTTTGCCCTCGAAAAGTCGAAAAATCGAAAAGTCGAAAAGTCGAAAAGTTCACATGCCAGGATATTTCGGCTCGAAAAGTCGAAAAATTCGAAAAAATCGAAAAGTCGAAAAGTCGAAAAGTCGAAAAGTTCGAAAGATTCGAAAAATTCGAAAAGTCGAAAAGTCGAAAACTTTTTGGTTTTTTGATTTTTTGCGAAAATTTTCCCTGGAAGAGTGATCAACCCCGTGGGTTTATCCACGCACAGGGCTTTTTATGGTTGTTTGGTTGCTCTTTCCCGGTCGAATGGTTGGTTACTTTCCAGGGGAGCAGGAAACTTGCAATCAGTGTATCAGAATTAGATTTTGTGTTGCTCATGTAATTAGTGGGTGTCTCTATTTTTTTGTGTTGATTTTGTGGGTTTTGAAAGCTGGACACTGAAAACCCACAGAATTGCTGAGCAAGTATTTGGCTCAGGGCTACCAGGGCCACTACTGTCACTAACTGTCTTGAGTTGCAACCAATTTAGAGGCCAACGCAACTCAGCTTGCAACATCTTGCTACCAGTTTAGGGGGCAAATAGCACTCTCCAAGCGTCTCAAGTTCCAGCTACTGTGCCGGTTTGAGGAGTGAAACAGTGTTCGGCGCAGCCAAACTGAAGCTTTCTGGTTGTGTCGCAGGAATTCCACAGGGATGGGGCAGCATGACCCTGATCAACCAACAGGGTTTTGATGGGTTTTGCCTACAGCTACTAACTAGGAGCACGGCCTCTAGAAAGCCGTGGGTTTTTTGTGATCAACGGGGTGTCATGGATCATATTTGACGCGCTCGTGCAAATAGGAATTTGCTTGATGTGATATTTAAGGCCGTTAACCCCTTATTCTGGTGCAGTTTTTCAAAACAGGCATTTCGCCTAGACGAAACTAACATGTTTGGTTTTTTTGCCGATTCTGAAACTAATTCGACGTGACATGTTTTGCGTCATCTTTTGACGCACGAATGGAAAGTTCAAGAGTACCTTCAGTAGCGTAGCATGACGCATGCATGGAAAGTTCAAGAGATCTTACAGTAGAGTAGCATGACGCATGCATGGAAAGTTCAAGAGATCTGACAGTAGCGTAGCATGACGTATGCATGGAGAGTTCAAGAGAACTTACGGTAGCGTAGCATGAGGCATGAGTGGAAAGTTCAAGAGAACTTACAGTAGCGTAGCATGACGTACGCATGGAAAGTTCAAGAGATCTTACAGTAGCGTAGCATGAGGCATGAATGGAAAGTTCAAGAGTACTTACAGTAGCGTAGCATGACATATGCGTGGAAAGTTCAAGAGAACTTACAGTAGCGTAGCATGACGCATGAATGGAAAGTTCAAGAGTACTTACAATAGCGTAGCATGACGCATGAATGGAAAGTTCAACAGGACTTACAGTAGCGTAGCATGACGCATAAATGGGAAGTTCAAGAGAACTTACAGTAGCGTAGCATGACATATGCAAGGAAAGTTCAAGAGAACTTATAGTAGCCTAGCATGACGCATGAGTGGAAAGTTCCAGAGAACTTAAAGCAGCGTAGCATGACGTACGCATGGAAAGTTCAAGAGAATTTACAGTAGCGTAGCATGACGCATGAGTGGAAAGTTCAAGAGAACTTACAGTTCAAGAAAACTTACAGTTCAAGAGAACTTACAGTTCAAGAGAACTTACAGTAGCATAGCATGACATATGCGTGGAAAGTTCAAGAGAACTTTCAGTAGCGTGGTATTAGGCATGAGTGGAAAGTTCAAGAGAACTTACAGTAGCTTAGCATGACGCATGAATGGAAAGTTCAAGAGAACTTACAGTAGCGTAGCGTGACGTATGCGTGGAAAGTTCAAGAGAAACTTCAGTAGCGTGGCAAAAAAAGAATAACAACATATATAAAAGTCTACTGATCTTGCTTGGACATGACATGTGCAATGCACTTCATATTCAACAAAACTGGACTTTGAAGTCATGTATGTGTTCTTGATAAAATGATAACAATAAATAAGTAAGGAACAGTTGCATAGTTCTGAGTTACCATGATACTGATAATGTATATATTAATCAATATATATATATATTGACTAGCACTAAAAAATATAGCATAATATACTACAATATCATATATTTAAAAATATGATATAAAATAGTATGATATATATAATATATTTCAATATAATATAATACGATATGATAAAATAAAAAAGAATATAATACAATATAATATAATATTATACAATATAATATAATATTATATTATATTATACAATATAATATAATATAATATAATATAATATGATATATGAAAAAATATTATGCTATAATAAAACAATAAATAATATATTTCATAATAAATTAAAATAATAAAAGATCATATATAATATAAACTAATATAATATAGCATGGTATAATATAATATGTTGAAATATCATCTGATACGATATAAAATAATACCATAGGTAAAATATGTTTATACATAATATGTTTTAGTTATAATGCAATTTAAAATCATGCAGTATAACATCATGGGATGTCATATATAAAAAATTAAAAAAAACATATAACGCAATATCATATATTTAAAAATATGATATAAAATAGCACAATATAATATATTTTAATAAAATAAAATATAATATAATATAATATAGCCAAAAATAATATATTATGATATAATATATAATATAACAAACTATAATAATATAATATGATATAATAAAAAAAATATTATGCTATAATATAACAATAAATAATATATCTCATAATAAATTAAAAAATAATAAAAGATCATATATAATATAAACTAATATAATATAGCATAGTATAATATAATATGGTAAAATATCATCTGATACGATAGAATATCATAGGTAAAATATGTTTATACACAATATGTTTTGTTGTAATGCAATATAAAAAATGCAATATAACATACCGGTAACATCATGGAATGTCATATAGAATGATATGGTTTTGTGATGTGTTGTGTATTATAGAAAAATATTTCATAACGCAACTTAATGTCAAATTATATAAAATAACATGGTATAGTATTATATGTGTAGCCTTACCGGGGATATTGTTGCCTTATTTACACATCCATCTCAACCCAAATCGATGCGGCCTTTTTGTGGGTTTCTGGCTAGGCATTTTCGCGATCCACAAAACCTGGACCTCGCTTGCCTTCTGGTGGAGGATAGATGATAAGACAGGAACCCTTGCGTACCCAGTTTGGTGTATTGTTTGGGTGGTTCAAACGCAACTTTTCGCTGAAAACTCCAACCGTGGTAGAAAAGTTTCACCCGAAAAGTTGAAAAGTTCACATTCCAGGAGATTTCTGCTCGAAAAGTCGAAAAATTCGAAAAATTCGAAAAGTCGAAAAGTCGAAAAGTTCGAAAAATTCGAAAAGTCGAAAAGTTCGAAAAATTCGAAAAGTCGAAAAGTTCGAAAAATTCGAAAAGTCGAAAAGTTCGAAAAATTCGAAAAGTCGAAAAGTTCAGATTCCAGGAGATTTCTGCTCGAAAAATTCGAAAAATGCGAAAAGTCGAAAAGTCGAAAACTTTTTGACTTTTTGACTTTTTGCGAAAAGTTTTGCAATTTTCGCGCTGTACGATTACCGGCGAGAAGAGCGCTTAGGGTACATCAACCTACGGTCATTTACTCTGTAAGCATGAGCCTCTTCTGAGTGCAACTCCTGAACTGCTCAGGGATGCAGGAGATGTCTCAGGGTTCGTTGGCATGCAAGCAGAACGTGTGGCGTGATGGCCGTTGAATTCTGAAACTCGCAGGAGCCGGATGAAAAATGTTGATATACAGATATATACAGATAATACATGCATTATATACAGCTATACAGAAATATACAGAAATGAAAAGCAATAGACAAAGCATCACAGCGTGTCAAACAGTGCCTCCAGGATTCACCGTCACAGGAGTTGGCACTGAGACATTGGTGCCTAGGTACTGCAACTGCTTAGAGATCTTACGGACGCAGACATTGACCAGCTCACATTCCGAGCTCTGGGCCAGTGGTGGATGTGGAAGTGACAGTGTTGGTTGCAGTTGCCTGAGATGACCCAAAATTATTTAAATTATTTAAAATTCAAATGAGAATTCAACAGCTAAGCTCGACATGGCTCTAAGCTCTATGTAAGCTCTACCCCGAGGAGAACTTCTGTGGATTGCTCAAAAAGCCTCAATCCAAGCGGTCCAAGCGGTCCAAGCAACAGAAGTAGTGGAGATGCTCGTGGCCTGTGTCCGTGTGACCTTGGCACGGCAATGGCCGCATGCTTCAGCTTCTCCCTTTCGTCAAATTCCCTGGTTCTTCTCTGAGATATCTTAATACCACAACCAAACTCCGAAATTGCCAGAAACTATATAGATCTATCCATGAAGATATAGAAGATACGACATTCAAGTTCCCGCTTCCACTTTGCTTACATGTTGCTTACTTACAAATTAAGGTCTAACAGTATCTAACAGTCTAGGGCACCGTGCAGTGAGACTTTGTGTGCTCGTCAGAGTAAATGTGGAGGAAGTCTCAGCTCATTTCTTTGGAGTTTCAACACTCCCATGTCTGACATGTCTTGTTTGACAAGATGTGACAAGATGTGACAAGTTTCGAATTGAAGTTTCATGGTAGACAACATCATGGCAGCATGTTCCGTATCCACAGACTGCTCCCAGTTCAATTCAAGGAAACACGGCTGAGAAGCCCTGTGTGGCATGTGTGGGACATTGCACCATCAGAAGTTAGCCGAGCGCTGGCAATTATACATTGCAGATCATTGCAGCTGGTATAGGATGCTGCTACCGTATTGTTTTGCATGATTTAAAGTTCAAATTTGGAGCGGAGAAAAGATGAGAAAAGAACTAAAGATACAAACATTTTGACAAAACTAGTCATGTCATTTGGATGTCATGGCAGGCTGGGGATACCTTGACATACATGTCATACATAATTACATAACCTTGCTGGCGCCCACTTGCAATGCATTGCGGATTGTCTCTGATAGCGGTCACTTGATAGCATTTGATAGCGTTTGTTGAAAGGTTGCAACACCGCACGAGACGTACGGAAAGAAAGAAAGAACGAATGAAAGAAACAGAGAGAGAGAGAGAGAGAAAGACTAGGGTTCTGTTTCGCTGTTTCTTTGTTTTGAAGGGTTGGCCCAGAGGTTGTTTTGCTCAGCCATTTGCATATCTTGTTTTGGATTTGTTGGCTTCTGTCTTGTGGGTTTTGGCGTTTTATGTTCTCACATTACAGTGCTTTTCAGATTTCTGATCGGGATTTCGTTCCATGGCTTTTGCTCTGCTTTCAATGCTATTTAGATCATTTTAGATCTATTTAGCCTTTGTTTGCCGTGTTCTGTCTGTTCTTTTTTTTCTCGTTGTTTCACCCAAAATATTTTTGCCCTATTACAGTACTTTCTTTGCACTCCTTGTATTTCGCTTGGATTTGGCTCTGCACACTATGTCTGGGATTGGGGTGAAAACCCTGACTGGAAGCCTCGACTAAACCTATGTAAAGTACGTGTCTGTCAGAGTCTGTTCTTTTGCAGCGCAGTGAAAGTGCCTATGTACAGGACTGCAGAACTGACATGGAACGCAAACATACACACGCAGCACACAGAAGCTCCAAGAAACACTTCTTGTCGTGCTTGTCTTCGTTGTAGTCACTGTTGATGAAGTTGAGGTGGTTTGAGTTGCCTGCAGAAGCCATGTTCACTTCAGAAAGCCTACAGCAATCCCCCATGACAACAAACAGTTCCAGTCAATCTGTCAAGGTAGCAGTAGGATGCTGTAGGAATGAGCCCTCTCTATGAACAAAAAGAACAAACAAAAGAACAACGAACACTGCAGACTTGAGGCAACTGTGTACTTGTCTTGCGAGCTCTGAATGATCTGCCAGGAGACTGTAGTGCTTGTGGTAGCAGTGCTGTTGGTGTTGTCGGCGCTGGAACCTTGTATCAAACGCCCCAAACACCCAAATTATTCCCAAGACTCATCCAGTCATCGTGACACTTTTTACGCATTCGCGATGCCCAGAACATTTTGCATTGATTTGGTTTGTATCCCGTCTTGCTCTGCGGTTCGAACTGACCTTACCCTCGATGCATTCCCAGTGAAGAGGCACTAATAGATGGTATGTACTAAGACTAAGAAACACTATAAATATATATTGATATATATATATATATAATTAGATGATTTGGCGATCGCTCAGGTCTTGCCAAGCTTTATGATTTTGACATTTTGCATCTGAGATGCTTGTGCTGTTGCAGAACCTCAAATCAAGCCAAGGGTGAGTGAAATCAAGAAACTGCTGGCGTCAGGGTTGCCGACTGTCCGCAAACGCAAATGAAAAACTTGACTCTTAGAGACTCTAACTTGACGAAGCATTATGATTCAAATTATGATGCACGATGTGATCATTGATCGCACGAGACAGTGTAAGCATCCAGAAGGACACCGGCTGTACAGGTTTTTCGCTGGCTTCCCTCGTCTGGCTATTTTGACTCTTTGTTCATGACAAGATCTTTGCATGCTGTATTTCATTCTGTATCTATTCCATCCATTTCCATCCTCCACTTCTGATTTTCCAACTCACTTCATTTAGCCTTCCGCCTCTACCTGGGAGCCCGACTCATATGCAGAGCTCAGGCTGCTAGAAGTCTGCAACTGGAAATGTCAGGTGACAATCATGCCAAAATATCTCTCAACTGCGTCGTGTGCACTCGCTGTAAACATCTCTTGCATCGCACTGCTCACAGAATAACTCGACTTTATATCACCCAACTACCGACCAAGAATCACACATTAGCTGTGTTGATGCAGCAAAAATCTTACAATTCTACTATTTCGAAAAAGATTCTAGTGCCTGTGTAGCATCAAAGCGAGTCGTCAATGTTCTCCTCGGCTCTACAAGGCAGGACCAGTCAGGAAACATTTGATATCAAGTTTCTTGTACCACTTTGACTCATTTAGGAAATCCGTCAAAACGGATACTGTAAACGCCTTCGGTTCAAATGGTACTATCCTGCGGTGACATTCACCGTTCTTCCATCTTCCACATGGGATCTGAGGTTGGAACAAAACATGAACCCAAAATCTTTCAAGAGGGTGCAAACCAGTGGAAGAAGACGATGAAGACACTCAGGATGATTGAAGGATTTTCAGTGTGAAGCTCATTATCAATGTATGTTCCTTTTCCTGATCACAGAATGTCTTAAACGGTCTGAAGTTTCATTACTACATCTTTGTTTTGTTTTCAAAGATGTTGGGAAAATGGTTTGCGTCTTCATTTCCACTTTTTGTGCTTTTTGTTTTTGCGGATCCAAGGTTGTCCTCTGCAAAAACAACATTTCATTGCCAATTTCTGTTTTCCTAAAACACCGTTTTGAAGACCGTCGGAAGTGTCATTGCCGAACTCCCTATGTTTGTGTTGGCTGGAGGTTTATCTTAAAACTGCTGTCTGAATGTGAGACAATCTTTGTGTTTGTTCAATCTTTGTGGTTGTCTGATTGAAGGCTTTTGTCGCGAACCAATCTGAAATTTGACTGCAATATGTCTGGGTCTTGTTAGGTTTGTTTGTAAAACATGGTCAGCTCAAGCTACAAAAGACCATATGGAGACCTTAGGCCTCAGAAACCTCCAGTCCTCACCAACCTACCTTGCCCTCAATCGTTTATATCAATACAATCTACTACAATCTTATGTATACATCAGTAATCATCAGTACATCTAAGAACTTGGAATCATATCTAAAGCCAGATCTCCTTTTAGATTGTTCCAATTTGGACACCGTATAAACAGAGTTCCATTGCCAGTTTGCCAAGTCTTTTTTGGGTCTGATCAAACATATCTGCAAGCAAAGTCAAATTCTGAAATTGTGTTTTTCTACTCGAACCTGACGCAAATAATCCCAAGCCATTTTGTACCCTGATCATATCAGGCCCTGATCGAAGAATTTGTCTGAAACCAGTCTGAAACTTCATTGCCAAATTTTGCCACGTTGGATTTTCATCTGGTGTGACTTAATTCCAAGTAAACTTTCACCCCACAAAATAGAAAACAACATTACAAAATATTACAAGCAACACACGGTGTGGAGACCTTAGGCCTCACCCATCCCGTCCACCTCACCTAAACATTGGTTTCAACCGAATTATCCAAGAACGCTGGCAGATTCAAAATTGATCAAAATTGGCTGTATAGATTGTTCCAATCTGAATATGGTCTGGAGCCAGCAGTGCCTGGTATTTTTCCTTGACCAAAGTTCTTCTTGCCTGAACACATCTGAACACGGTGCCAATCCTTTGCTTCTTTGATCAAACAATTTGTCTGAAAACATCTCGAGTTTTATTGCCAATTACTTATCCTGCTGTGATGGAAGAATGTTCTGAAAATGGTTCCTAGTTCCATTGCCAAAGCTTACCTCTTGCCTCATGCATACGACTTTTTGGGGATCGCTCACGCCCTCCAAGATAACTTCAAATGACACATCAACATGGTTTTCAACCAAATGCTTTCATTCTAGCGCGGAAAACGCCCACGGAGCTATAATGAAAATATATGGCATTTGGTGGAACCTTTCCCTGTTGATCGAAGCTAGATGTCGCAAAAAAATAATGGTCTGGAACCCTCTCTCAAAATCAAAAAAACTGAGGCCGATCCCACAACACGGTGGTGTGCAAACCCTGTCCTGAAAAGAAATAAAGAAATTGTAAGCCTGAGGATCTTCAGAAAATCTATTGTGAACACTAGCTTGGATGAAAGCCTGCCAAAACATGCCAAAACATCTTGTGTGCTTCCTCAAAATTTGGCTGAAAAAGAGGACTTCCGCTCCAGAGGTGTTCATCCTTAATAGCTTCTGTAATTAAAAATCCGTTAGCCTAGGAGATCCTAGGAGTACATCTCACATCATCTCACTACTTCACAGTTGGCTTTGGAGAAACATGTTGCCCTCCGTCGGGAAAAAACGGAAACACTGTGGCAAGATATGGCGAGCATTGGCGAGCATTGGCGAGCATCAATATCTGGATGTGCATATCCGTCTCCAGAGACCTGGACAGCTGGCAAACTTCACTTGAGCACTCCAAGCACTCCAAGCACTCCCAAGGTTTGACATCGATGTCAATGATTTCCACTAGGTTCATCTACTCTGGGCCACCATATTTAAAAATGTGACTGAACTTGCTCCTGGATAGACCTGCTGCATAGACCCAAAATAGCATAATATGAACATAGACACCCAAAAGGATTCTAGCTACCTTGAAGTGCTTCCAGCATACTTCTAGGAAGCAATAAAATGAATCGAATGCTGTATATATTGTACTAGTACGACTATGGGTGGTGGCAGCAGCGACAGCCCTCAAAGCGAACCGAGCCATTCATGCCAATTCCCCTTCCGCAAAAATCCCAGGAGCGATTGCAGGAAAAGAATGGAAAAGACAATGATGCCAATGATGTGTGAAGCAGCAACTCAATTTTCGCCAGTCACATTGTGTCACATTAAATTTCAGTGAGCTGAGCCAGCTGCACATTGTCTGTTAATACTCTTTGCAACGGGCCCGTCAGCCACTGCCAGTACCTGCTCACATAAAATCACCTTCTATATATCAACACAATGGGCTTTGGTATGCTTCCATTTTCCAATGTGAATCCAATCAGCAATCAAGTCCAACGTACTTGCAAAGACATGATTTTTTTTGTTGGGTGGTTCAAATCATTTAATTTGACTGCATTCATTTTCCAGGACTGCTTGTATATGTCTAACCTTCCATGTATTTGTGTAATAGGTGTGCTAGCTTCGCTTCCAAGAGCATTCAGTCTATGATCCCCTTCATGCGCACTGTTGCTCTGTAATGATGTCGTTGAAGCTAGGAGAGACGTGGTGCAAAAATGCCGAGGAATTGTCAGCTTCCTGGATGGCGCTGCTTTGGGGTGCGAGGCGTGAGGCACGATGAATGCTGAGGTGAATACTCATGCACATGGCCAAGTTGCACCTTTTAGATCCTTTTCGATAGTTTAAGAAATATTTGCTATCTAAGGTATTGTATGGTATTGTAATGGTATTGTAATGTCATGTTTTACCCCTCGCATCCACTGCTAGGTGATGCCAGGAGACTGTGAAGTTTCCAAAAAGGCGCTCCAATTTGCTAGATGCCAAGAGCAAGCCTCCAGCAGTTAAAGTCTTTTCGTCCAAATGCGTCAGAAAGTTCACAACTTCGTCCATAACTCTACAGATACCTATGTCTGTCCCTGATTTTCTTTCTAGGATGTTTGTCCTGTTTCCGACTTGTTGCCATCCTCGAAATGTCTTAGTATTCGGAAAAGTGTAACATAGTTTACATTACAAGTGTTTACTATGTCTTGTCCAATCCATAACGCAGTCTGTTGTGTTCAAGAGCTCCACTCAGCAGGGCACTTGGACCAAGCGTTTGGGGCTGCACCAGCGAAATCAAGAACAAGACCTGTGGACAAGGTGCAAGAACCAAGGACTTGGTCATATAGTATGACCTCACCCTATACTCGTACTCATTCGACTTTTCAGATTGTTTTAACTTGCTTTTGTGGATTGCTTGTGATGCAGTCTGCAGGTTTAAGACTCTAAGACGCAATTTTCATTGCGCCTGGCAAACGACGAAGACGGAGAACTCCAGTAGTCGACACCTGTCACGCCCAATTGTGGATATTGTAGCTCTTAGGATTGCATCACCCTCAAGAGCCAACTGCCATCCCCACAATCCAAAGAAAGCATAAGAAAGCCACAAACAAAAATTCTGTGGCGTGGCATTGAGTTTGAGTGAATTCCGAGCCTCTTGGCATTTGCTCTTTGCCAGCATTGACATGAAAAGGAAGCCCTGCTGCAAGCTGTTGTCACTGTTTCTACTATTGTTGGCTCCACCCTGATTCAATCATGCTTCATCCTCCATCTTCCTTCCCAATCTTCCCAAGCCACGCCAAGCCACGCCAAGCCACGCCACCCCACGCCTTGTGTCTGCCCTTTTTCTGCGCTTTTTCTCCTGACCCAAGATGAGACCCTGGAGGACCTGGACCTGTGATTACTGTGATTGGCAACGAGTTCATAGATCAGCTGTGTCCTGGCCCTGCTGCATCAGATCGTTGAGAGATGGTATGATATCCATGTTGATCTTGGCAGCCTCACAAAAGAACAAACATCCTCAAAGAACACCGCCAGAAGAACAGCCTCAAAGAACATCAGAAGAACACCAGAAGAACACTAGAATCACTAGACCTCACGGCCACCTGAGAAAGGACGCATACACACTGATTTGAACAATAAATGCGACACGCTCAAGGCAAAACGTGTGTCACTTTTTCTCGGTTCCCTATCGTTTCGGAGGTTCATGCAAAAACTAACATCCGATGCTCACTCCACTACATATTTGATAAACACAAAATTCGACGGAAACTGATATGCTTTACTTCAAGATTTGCAGGGGTAGATTATAATTATTCTAAACACAACGAGCAAGAGTGTGACTCCAGGAAAGAAAGCGGTTTCAATGCCACAAGAGAAGCTTTCATGAAGCACACCAGCCACAGGGCGTCAAAGGGGTTCGCAGGTGAAGAGTACTGCCAAACTTGGCAAGCTGTATGGACTACGGAATTCAAGACGATGCAACAGCTACATGACAAACACTGACAAACACTGACAACATCTGACAACATCTGACACACCTATTCCATCATGGCACCTCTCCATCTTCACCTCCACGCTTCTTTCGTGCATTTTCGAGCTCCTTCAAAGCTGACAGTCAAAATTTCAGGATACAAGAGCAAAGAAGGGATTGAACAAAGCAACTTGGATTCAATACAATAGCAGAATATAATGAAACCATTAATAGCAATAAAATAAAAGCAAGTGACAGTACAGTCAGACACTTCTTACTTTCTTTTAGTCTTGGATTCGGCTTGCTCCTTCTCCAGCTGGCGCTCGTTAAATGTAAAATCCTAGAGACCGGACAGTCTTTGTTCTCAACTCTTTCACTGCACCCAGTCCACTCAGCAAAAAGAACACCAGCTGAGTTTCAGGCTTCCCATTTTTCCCCCTTTGGCCTGCAGCATGGCCAATTCACTGTAGAACTAGACTGTCTGACGCTGATTCACACTCAAAAGATCTCAAAGGTCTCGTCCCCTTTTTGGCCTGTTCAAGTCCTCTTTGCTCAGGACAGTGCTGGCACCTCAAGCTCATGAACTGGTCAAACTCTACACAAGTCCATCTCTGCATCACAACCTTCAGAGTCTAAGATAATCTTAGATAGTCTTAGTCTTCGCGGAGTCATCATCATCACAACTCTGCAGAACCTTATGAACCTTTGCAAAAATTTCTTAGATTTTTTAGTTTTTTTTAGATTTGTTGCAAAGGGCGAGGCTCGCTTCCAGGCTCCAAGACTCCGGCGAACAAGTGTCAGGCAATAGTTGCGGCCTGCAACGCCCAACTGGCCCAACAAGTCCAACAAGTCCAACAAGTCCAACAAAGTCAACAAATTGTCACTTAATAACACTCAACTAACATGTATATAATTATGTATAATTAAACATTTAAAAACAACTCTACATGTAGTGCTGTTCTATGTTTTTTACTTTCCGACATTCCGGGCCTTTCACCATCCAAAGATCGCGCTCTCTCTGTTCACCTTTCAAAAAACGAGAGTGATACTACACCATGACAAATGATTTGTATTCGAAGTAAATTTGACTTTCAAAACGTGCCAAGTAGCTTGAAGATGCTCCCTCCGGTACCTCCAGTTATGGCAGCTGCAGTTTCCATACTATCCGGCCTGCAAAATCCTTATTCCAAATTTCAACGCAATTCAGACTTGATAAATTTGTAGGATTGGCTCATGTTGTTTCAGTTTCGCTCCCCCTCTGCGGCACCAAGGCAGTAGAACTTGAGCTTTGTGAGCTCCTGTGAAGGGAAAGTCAAACTAGGAGCCAAAACGACCGCACTCAATGTCCAAAAAAACTACAGAAAACAGCGCGCGCGCGCACAGTACATATTGGCGATGTTGCTTTAGTTTGAAATAAGAAGTCAAATTATGACATTGTTTTTCCTTTGGGTCCGAGTTTCTTTCTTAAAGGTGTAGGAAAGGATACCCTGAGAGTTTCCACTCCTACACTTGCATCGACGCTTGTGGACCTCGTCGCGCACAGTTTGAAAACAATACAAGTAGACCCCCCGTAAGGCGGGTGGCGGAAGTTTCCAGGTTTAAGGACTGTGATGCTATAGGATCCAAAGACCAGGTTTGCCTATAGGAACTGGAATGAAACCACATCTTCTCAACTCTGTTCTGTGAATTCGTCCTTATCTTGCTTCACCCCTTTTCAACTGTGACCACCACTTCTCAGCTCTTCGCAGCTCTTCTCAGACCATCTCAGCGCTTCTCAATTTTTACAACTCTTTTCAAAGCTCTCAAAGTCTTTCATCTCTTCCCAGCTCTCAACTCTTTTCACCTCTTCCCCGCTTTTCTCAACTCTTCTCAATGACTCTCGCCTCTGCCCACCTCTCAACTCTTCTCAACTCATGTCAACTCTTCTCACCTCGTGCCACCTCTTCTCAACTCTTCCCACCGCGTCTCACCTCCGCTCAACTGATCTCACCTCTTTCTCAGCTCATCTCAACTCTTGTCACCTACCTTTTTTGTCCACCTTTCTCAACTCTTGCCAACTCTTCTCAAATCTTCTCACCTCTTTTCACAGAGATGCTTTACACAGGGAAACTTTTACACACAGAAGCTTTTACAGAGAAACTTTTACATACAGCAAGCTTTCACACAGAGAAGTATTTACACACAGAAGTTTTTACACAAAGCAAGTTTTTACACAGAGAAGTTTTTACACAGAGCAAGTTTTTACACAGAAAAGTTTTTACACACAGCAAGTTTTTACACAGCGGTGTTTTTACACAGAGAAGCTTTATACACAGAGAAGTTTTTACACACAGCAAGTTTTACACACGGAGTTTCTACACAGAGAAGCTTTATACACAGCAAACTTTCACACAGAAGTTTTTACACAAAGAAGCTTTTACACAGAGCAAACTTTTACACAGAGAAACTTTTACACAGAACAGGTGTTTACACCTGGCACGCACAACGGCTATACAAATTGCAGCTCCAAACCGGATCTCGACGCCAAAGCGGAAAGACGACGATTTTGAAGCACTTAAAAAAGAAAAATCATCAGCGCCGCAGCGCCAAAATGGAAAATTACTGCTGCCAAAGCACCATTGGCGACCTTCATGCAGCCATTAACAATACAATTTACGAATCTCAGCTGCAAAAAACCATAATATTTCGCACCCGGCCGCAGCAGTGAGGAACCTTGACACAGCCATTCCAGCATGATCTGCAGACACGAGTTGCAAAACCCAATAGAATTACGCAGAACGGCTACACCAATTGCAGCTCCAAAACCGGATCTCGACGCCCCGAGCCAGATGGGTTCCCAATTGGTCACTATGTCAGATTCCACCGTGATTGCACAAACTTTTGGTGCTGCGAGCGAGCGTGCATGTTTAAATTAGGTGTGAGGTTTGCACATGAGCATGCAAGGCACGAAACCAGACAGGAAAAAAAAGGAAAATCATTAGCGTCAAAATGGAGAAAATTTGCTGCCAAAACACCATTCGCAACCTTCATGCAGCCACTACAATACGATTTACACTTCTCAGCGGCAAAACACAAAAGCACAGCATTAACAAAGAAGAGAAAAAGTCACTTGGAGACTTCAGTTACCGTGATTCCACGCTAAAGCCGCGACGCCCGCACCCGTCGCGCACGCGAGCCAGCTTTTCTCCACAACTGAACCTCCGGCAACGTTTTCTTCTTACAAACCTTTCTGAAGCTGACCTGGTGTTGCAAAAAAAAACCTCCAAAGAAGAACCTTCTCTGGAACCGTTACCCAAAAAAAAATGTTTCATGCAAATCCTAACATACAAATCGCATCCTTGATGTAGCAGTTCCAATGCGATCTGCCAACAATGATCCGCAAGACACAATCAGACCCGCAAGATGCTACTGAAGAACAAGTACTCTTCGAGCAGCCTTGGCGCAGCCATTCCGCTGCGATCTGCACTTGCAATTTTGCAAAACAGAAAAGAATTGCAACACAGTACTCAGTACTGTAGAACACGTCGCTTTGATGCACCAGTTCCAATGCACAAAGTACCTCAACCAACACATGCAAACTACCATAGCACAGCGTCAACAAAGAAGAGAACAAGTCACCTGGAACCCTTAGTTCCACTGCGCGTGCAGATCGAGAATGATTCCACGCTAAAGCGGCGACGCCCGCACCCGTTGCACACGCGAGCCAACTTTTCTCCGCAACGGAACCTCGGTTTACCCGAAAAAACACCATGTTTCGTGCAATTCCTAAGGTTCGAATCGCATCCTTGATGTAGCAGTTCCGATACAATCTGCCAACAATGACTTGCAAAACACAATCAGAATCGCAACTCCGCTGCTCAACTCTACTCTTCCCTACCTTACTCTCCTGGACTCTGCTCTACTCTACCTCTACCGCTACTCTACTTCTACTCTCCTCTGCCTCTACTCTACTTCTACTCTCCTCTGCCTCTACTCTACTTCTACTCGACCTCTGCCTCTACTTCTACTCTGCTCTGCTCTACTTCTTTTCTGCTCTACTCTACTCTACTCTGCTCTACTCTGCTCTTCTTTGCTCTACTCTTCTCTACTCTACTCTTCTATACTCTACTCTGCTCTACTCTACTTTTCTCTACCTCTACTCTATCTCTACGATACCTCTACAGTACTTCACGCAGGGGCCAACTGGACACAATGATCTTTGTGCTAATGAGCATGTGACATCATGGTCCCTTAACGCACGTGCCAACTGGACACAATGATCTTTGTGCTAATGAGCATGTGACATCATGGTCCCTTAACGCACGTGCCAACTGGACAGAATGATCGTTGGGCTAGTGAGAATGTGACGTTATGATCTCTTAACGCACATGCCAACTGGACACAATGATCTTTGGGCGAGTGAGAATGTGACTTCATGATCTCTTAACGCACATGCCAACTGGACACAATGGTCTTTGGGCTAGTGAGAATGTGACTTCATTATCTCTCAACGCACGCGCCAACTGGACACAATGATCTTTGGGCTAGTGAGAATGTGACTTCAAGATCTTAAGGCACACAGCATTTTAACACAATGATCTTTGGGCTAGTGAGAATGTGACTTCGTGATCTCTTAAGGCACATGCCAACTGAACACAATGATCTTTGGGCCAGTGAGAATGTGACTTCAAGATCTTAAGGCACACAGCATTTTAACACAATGATCTTTGGGCTAGTGAGAATGTGACTTCATGATCTCTTAAGGCACACACCATTTAAACACAATGATCTTTGGGCTACTGAGAATGTGACTTCAAGATCTTAAGGCACACACACCATTTAAACACAATGATCATTGGGCTAGAGAGAATGTGACTTCAAGATCTTAAGGCACACAGCATTTTAACACAATGATCTTTGGGCTGGTGAGAATGTGGCTTCATGATCTCAAAAGGCACATGCCAACTGAACACAATGATCTTTGGTCTAGTGAGAATGTGGCTTCATGATCTCTTAAGGCACATGCCAACTGAACACAATGATCTTTGGGCTGGTGAGAATGTGACTTCGTGATCTCTTAAGGAACATGCCAAATGGACACAATGATCTTTGGGCTAGTGAGAATGTGACTTCATGATCTCTTAAGGCACATGCCAACTGGACACAATGATCTTTGGGCTAATGAGAATGCGACTTCATGATCTCTTAAGGCACATGCCAAATGGACACAATGATCTTTGGGCTAGTGAGAATGTGACTTCAGGATCTCTTAAGGCACACACCATTTAAACACAATGATCTTTGGGCTAGTGAGAATGTGACTTCAAGATCTTAAGGCACACACCATTTTAACACAATGATCTTTGGGCTAGTGAGAATGTGACTTCACGATCTGTTAAGGCACACACCATTTTAACACAATGATCTTTGGGCTAGTGAGAATGTGACTTCACGATCTTAAGGCACATGCCAACTGAACACAATGATCTTTGGGCTAGTGAGAATGTGACTTCAAGATCTTAAGGCACACACCATTTAAACACAATGATCATTGGGCTAGTGAGAATGTGACTTCAAGATCTTAAGGCACACAGCATTTTAACACAATGATCTTTGGGCTAGTGAGAATGTGACTTCAAGATCTTAAGGCACACACCATTTAAACACAATGATCTTTGGGCTAATGAGAATAAAACCATCCGTAACTCGGAGTTTCTCTACGAAACTTCCTTTGATCAGGACTAGGGCAGACTAGGGTAGTTGGATAGTTACTTAATTTATGTCAAGAAAACAATAGCAGGGTCAACAATCACCAGTAAAAAGCACATGGTGAGTCCTGAAGTGAGGATCTGTCGGAGGCACCTAAAAATCGAATCAGGCACGTTGGTACAGAATCTGTAGAACAATTCAACGAAGTCTGCAAGTTACTGCAAGTTACTGCAAGTTTACTCGGACAAACCTTGGGATCCTTGGGTTGTTTACAGAAGTTGTGTTCTTTTGGCAGTTCAAATCCATCCAGGTGTCGCGCTGGAGGAAGAATAATGTCCACCAGAGTCATGTTGTCAAGCCTCGAGCGGCGCGTTGCGACTGCTTGCAATCGATTGATGTCTGTTGGTAAGAGTAACAACATATAACAAAAATGTACCCAATGCATCCAAATGTATTGCAACATTGGCAAATCATTGGCAAAATCCTTGCAGTTCAACAGTTCGGGTTTTGCACTCAGGCTGTCACACAATACGGCCATCGCCATCCAAAAAAAAAACTTTGTCAGGATCGAGGCCTCGGTATCAATGTGACACCGACGCCATGGTCTGAACATTCTGAACGTTCTGGGGATCCTACCCCAGTACTTAGCTGCTTGTTTGCCAAGGCTTTCAACCTGATCAAGGTTGCATCAATCAGTCTCCTTCACGAAGGATTCCACATCACATCACAAACTCCGATTTTGGGAAATTAGAGAAATGTGGAAAATGTGGTGAGCAAGTGTATTGTGCTGTAATTGCTTTTCTCATAGACAGCTACTTCCATCTTTCGATTTTGTTGCACCTGACAGGCATATGGTTCATCCCCTGTGTCTGCGTCGCACACATGAAAGCAGTGTCAACGCAGCAAAGATAGCTTGAATTAGCTCGAATATTTGATTGATGTAGGTTGATAAAATTGGGCAATGCAACGCCTTCTCATTCAGGTGCACGAGGAATTTTGCATCCCGAGAGCCTCCGCAAAGTATAGACAAAAATCCAATGATTGAACAAAAATTCGCAAGACCAAGCACTTGGTGTTTCCAAGATTTTCCAAGTGCTCGCACCAGGCGGCCCTGCTTCGCCACGCCTGCTCCTTCACCATTGATGTGAAGGTTGAAACCTGTCGTTTCCGTGCCAGTGAGGAAATGCACGTCAACCATCTGTTCATCCTGGCTTCAGGAGCTTGCCATAAACCGTTGCTTTCGCGGCATGCCTTCTATAGATTTTGCCGACAAATTGAAAGAATTGGAAGGTGTCTATAAATGCCTAAGGCGTTGCATTTGCTCCATGGCAGTGATGGGCTGAAAAAAGAAGGGGCTGTCCTCAAGCTTTGGTCTCTTCCGCAGGAATCGATCAATTGTTTCTTTGGTTACCTCAGCCGTCACTCATCCAAACAAATTGACAATTTTTCCATTGTAAGAAAGAGATCGCCATAGATCCCCATAGATCCCCTATCACTTTGATCCTGGGCACCGGGCACTCAAAATACGAAATTTCTGATCCGTGTCCAGGGTTACTCTCTGCTGCGACCTGTGAAGCAGTTCTTGCGAATCAACAGGCTATTGCACAACCAGAACATTCAATATGTTCATTGCAGAAAAGTTGCAAGGGACAAACATGTATCTAAGGGAATTAAGTCAAGCAAACCGTCATGCACTTCAGTGAAGCTATGACAAGCAGTATGATATGAAGACCATGTCGGTGGGGTTATGCTACTGGTATACTTTGCTCCAAAAAGGTGTGAAAAGCGGTGCCAGCAACTTCAAAGAGTTCAAAGAGTTCAAAGAGTTCAAAGAGTTCAAAGAGTTCAAAGAGTTCAAAGAGTTCAAAGAGTTCAAAGAGTTCAAAGAGTTCAAAGAGTTCAAAGAGTTCAAAGAGTTCAAAGAGTCTCGATCAAAGCTGACTCAATCACCAGCTTAAAAAGCCCGTGTCAATTTCCCAGACTGATGTGAAACTGCCGACGGAAGAGCCTGTTGGTTTTGATTACACTCAATATGTTCCAAGAGGTAGTCGAGTTTCTTTGCTTAGTTCGCAGATGTGCGCAGTATCTGTCAAATCTGAACCACTGAACCACTCCAATCTTGCAAAAGCAAAAGACACTGCAATCCGAAGGTCTTTTTCTATGTCATTCTGCTGGACAGTTTTGGACTGGAGACGATGTACTGCACTAGTTTTTGTGGGTCTTGTTGGGATGTTGAAAATATCATTGTTGACCGGTGTAAACATCGTGTCGAGGAGGGTCAAATTAGTGTTTCTATTTCTGTCCTTTTGCAAGAACCACTTATCATCGACCTGCTTGCTCATGCTTGTTCGAAAAAGAAAAAACACGTTGTACCCGACATCCACAGGTGCAGCAGAAGTCACTACATCCGTTTGCGGTGGAACAAGAACACGATAAAGTTTGTCTATATCTTGGAAGGCGAATCTCAAGCACAGAGCCCCCGCCCCCGCCTTAACTCGTCCAGATTCTGTCTCTCCTGAGTATACTCGTCGTTGCCTCAGTGCGATGAAAGCGGGGCGGCTCTTGTGGGAGAAATGATGAGAAATGCTTCAAATTGTGAACAGAATTATCCCTGTTCCGGATATGTCGATTGGCTAGTCGTCTCGAAGTCTTGCGTGCTGTCTCCCGCGTTTCAAGTGTGCATGGCAGAGGAACGCCCTCTTTTCTATGCTTAGTTGCGGTCTTGAGCCAACGTGGCGTTGGCGAGCAATCCCATTGAAATACTACGGGGGGTATTGACACTGTATCCCCGTAGAGTCCCCATTTGCACCCCCCATGTTTGGTGTGATTTGATTTCACCAAACACGAAGGATGGGAACCTGTGAATTTTCGCTGTTGTACATCTGCCTGAATTAGCTACTCATGAGGTTCATCCTCCCCGGGCGCTCGATGAGCGTTACCGGTTTGGAATCCCCATAGCACTACTGTCTTCGCAGCTAGCTACCGGCAATTGTACAAAAAAAAATGTTAGTGACTTCGAATTGGGATGAAAATGTTCGAATTTGGCTTGGTGAGATGAAAGAACCTAAGCTAATCCAAAACTAGGCCTCGCTCAGAGTCCTCTCACAAGTCATTCTTTGTGAGGTTCATCAATGAAGGTGGAGTACACCACATAGTGTCCAACCACCGCCAGTGTATTGAAGAAAATAGATCAAATCAGTCAGTGCGTTTCTTCTTGTACTGAGGTGCTGGCTGTGGCTTGTCAGTAGGAGACGGCCGAGATGATTTTGCCGACGTTGGCATCTGCTTTGGTGCAGGCTTGGCCTTCGCAGGACCAGCTGCAGCAGATGATGATGAACTTGAGTAGCTTGGGGCACTTGTTGGCGCAACCTTTGGCGGAGGTGGTTTGGGGCCTTGAGCCTTGGGACCACCCCTTGATTTGGCCTCTGCTTCAGACGCTCGTGCCTCGGCTTTGGCGACGTCATCAACAGCTCTCTTTGCGCCCTCGGTGCTTCCGATTGCCTTGTAGACATTCTGCACGATCTTCGGGTCGACGTTTGGTGCAATGTGGTCGAGCCATCGTACATGCCCTCTTGCAGCTTCTTGTTCTGCACGCTTAATCGCATGTGCAATCAATGGAAGCTTGCGGCAGTTACCAGCAATTCCAGTTGGCGTTCTTGTTCCCTGTAGGACAAGTAGACCGCAAATGCAGGGATTTCAAGGCAATCCTCGAACCCATGATCACCAGCTCGAAAGTAGGTGTACTGTGTTGAGTTCGGGAAAGCACTTTTCAACAGTCTACACAGGAAGCTACTCATTTTGGCTCTCATCTCGTTCTTTTCTTCGGAGGTGCCCTTCATTTTGTTCATTGGGATAAGAAATTGGAGGTCCTCAGGTTTGAACCCAGCGAGCACCAGTCGCTCCATGAGTTTCTCATAGATCTCCAATGTCTTGACCACGGTCATCAGCATATTCCTTGGGCGCCCCCCATACATCATTTCTCCTTGCATCCACTCTTCCTCCTTGGCCTTGGCGCGGAACATGACATCAAGTTCCTCTTCGGTGGGACGTCGAAGCGACCCATCATCATCTTCGCCTGTGTATGCGCATATACCATCTAGGTCCAGCCTTCCGACGCGGCCGGTCGTCATCTCGGCGCGGTAGTCTTCAGGCGTCATCAGGACCCTCTGCTTGTAGTAGTATTTGTATATGCCCATGACCTTTGCCAAGACAGCGTTGTCAAAGAGCTGTGCCGCGCCTTCGGATGAGTCATTGTTGATCATCCCCATTGCGGGCAACCGGATGCTTCCAACGTCGAGGTTCAATGCCCACTTGGGCATCTTGGCTACCTCTGGGGCAGCCTCGGCCTCTCCTGCTTCTTCCTCCTCTTCGTCATCGGCGACGACTTCTTCGTCATCTTCTGCTTCGTCCATTTCTTCGTCGCCTTCCTCATCATAATCAACCTCGTTCGGGTCAAATCCATAATCGTTGTCTTGAGAAGCACATTCTTGTGCCTCGTTGACAACATCCTTGAAGATGGTTTCTTTGTTTCGGCGGATTTCTTCATCAAGCTGCCGATTCGTGGTCACCTCTTCGTCCTCTTCCTCGATGATTCTGTATGGCTTCAAGCCATGACTCTCGAGGGCTGTCCAGCATGCCAAACAAATGGCAAAGACAGTTGGCGTCTCCTTGAGACAGTGAGGACAGTACCGGCACCCTGATTCTGTGACCGGTTTCTTCTCGAGTATATAATCCACGAGCCTGATGCGCCCTTCGTATTGTTCTTTTCCACCTTCAGGAATCAAGTGGTTTTCAAACTTGTCGATGAGGCTCATGGCATCCATTGTGAGCTCATCGTAGGGCTGTTCTTCCACGCTCAGGCATTGCTTGGCCAATCGCAGCAGGGACTCCTTGGTCGCAACGATAGAAGACTGCACTCGTCCAATGCGGACGACCTGTTCGTCTCCTGATTTCACAATCAATCGATCCCATGCTGTTTTGGAATTCTGAATCCACCCACCTTTGATCTTGGAGAATGGGATGATCTGGTCTGTCACCACTTGTCCTGAATCGGTTAAACGTCCGTTGAACTCATTCATCAGGACCTCCGTGGTTTTTTTTTAGAGGCAAGTGAATCCTCCCTTTCGTGTATCCACGCTTTTCGTCACTTTCCACGATCGTGGATCCCACGGTGCGTACGGGTTGAAGAACGTAAAGATTCTCCAGCTTGTGCTCAACCCGCCTGGGATTAGACCTTCTTTCCATATTCCTCTCAGGTTTCGACTGGAAGTGATGTGGAAGCAGACCGGCATCGCCACCACTGTGCTCGGGGCCAGTGGGTGTGAAAGCAATGTGGACTTCAGCTCGACGTCGTTCGTTCCACGAATGTCGCCATGTCCAGTGGGAGCTCTTACCGCGACAGGATACAGAAGCAGTCCTTCCTCAGGGATGTCAGTGGCGGTCGATACACCGTTACACTGACAGGTTGGACTGTTCCGATCAATGTCAGGAAAGATACCAAACGCGAGCACTTGTTCACGAACACGTCGACCATACCTGGCACAGTAGAACATGATCTTGAAGAGTGTCTGCAATCTGAACGTTGCTTCCTGCTCGTCCCAATTTTCCTGGATCCTTTCTTTCCCATGGGGAATCAGGAATGTGTGAGGCCACCTCAATCTTTCGCGCCTCCAAATGGCTTCATTCTGAAGCACATCATTGATTGGGACCCATCCGGCATCATCACATGGCAAGCTTTGAGGTTCGGAAGCTCTTCCGATGTGATGCCTAAGGATGCGATTCAGGGCTGAGCTCACTTCGTCTTCGTAGTCTGAGAGCTTGTTGCGCTGCCCGAATCGATAATCGACTCCATATTCAACACCGCTGTAAAATTTGTAGTTGAAGAAATGACAGCCTGTGTTGGGAACGATCTTCAAGAAGCCGTCCATCGGTGCCTCGACCCTCTTGTAGAGTGGTTTGCGGGTGTTCTTGTCGGTGTAGGCTGCAAGGAAATCTGGAACTTTCCAGATGTCACCTCCTCCGCGCATGATGGCGTCTCGAATCACTTCGTTGAGGTCGTAGCTCGTCATTGGCCCTTCACAGACGATGTCACGGCCATCAATGCAGAATCTTCCTGCTTCATCCAGGTCTCCGACTTCGGACATCAGGCGGCTGTCTTCATACCAATGGTATTCACCTGTTCGGGCCGTGTCTGGTTCTGCTGGCCCTTTGGATTCATCAGCCTTGCCCGGTTCCTCTTTCATCTTCTCACCTTCTTGTTCCATGTCAACATCGGAGCCTGAGCTTTCGCCTTCAAGCGCTGTCCTGACTGCATCAAGAGCCCTTTTGGTATCAGCTCTTTTGGGATCTTCGCATTCATCATGTGTATGCTTTGTGCTTCCACAGTAGATGCAGACGTTGACATCCTCGGACGCGGTGAAGAAGTCCCCAAGAGCATCAAGGAGGAATTGCTTTCCAGATCTTTCGGAAGCACGGGTGACTTCTGCGTCAGCATCAGTAGGCTCCTCAGCTTCTGGTTCGTCAGGCGGGGCTGATAGCCCTTGACCCAACTCATCATTGGCCTCGTCACCCGCATCAGCCTCGTCGTCCATGTCGACGTCATCCGTGATGTTGTACTTCTTGCGGACCTTTTCAATCACCTGTTGCTTCTCCCATGCTGTCATGCAGTCGAAGTTGGTGAGGCTTTCATACTCAGGGATAGTATCGATGATCGTCATTACTTCCCCTGCCTCTGGTGTCTGGAGAGTGCAATCGAAGGATCCGCGTCTCTTGTCGTTCGTGGTGAAGGTGGTCCTTGCCATGGATCCAAATGCAGTCAATGCCTTTTCCAAACCGTTGAGATATTCGGTAGGGTCGATGTGGTCATCGAACACGTCAATGACGCCCTTGGCCATGCTGGCGATGTCAAGAACTCCAAGCCAGAATTCTATGATGTCGCCCACTTTCTCAGCAGTTGCTCTGGTAAAGGCAAAGATCTCATTTCTTTCCTTCAGCCCTGGGACTGCAACCTGTTCAAAGAAATCTTTGTATGCGACATTGCCGCAATCTTTGGTGACCCTGAAGGCTAAAATCCACTTTCCAGGACCTCTGTCATAGATCCTTTCTCTGTAGATGCTAAATTGCTTGCCTCGGCCATTCTTGAAGATCTCCTTGGCCTGATTGTAGGGAATGCGAACACCCCCCATGTGGGACAATGATTTCATCAGCTCTTCACCATATTTCAGGTTCTTGTTGCTGATCACAGACGCTGCTGCAAACACCAACCATTTTTGAAAGTCCTTGCTGATGTCAAGTTTGTCCAAACCGCAATTCTTGAATGCGACTTTCAGGCGTGCCGCAAGCAACAGCACTGACTTTCGTGCGCCCAGCGTAGGAGCCGATTTTCGGTAGTGGTCCTGGGTGTTCGCTGAGCAATTGATGCACGAAGCAGGCTTGTGCTGAGCAATCTCAATTGCATCCATGGTCGTGGCGGCTCTGCAATGATCACAAAGAAAATCGACACTGTCAGGAAACACTGGGAACCAGTAGCAGTTGAA